ATCGAATTCGATATGTCCCCTGCTCCCCTTCCCACCGCGCGCCTGTCGTCTGCCGATCGTCATGCCGATGATATCTCGTTCTTTCTCTCTCTCTCTCTCTCTCTCTCTCTCTCTCTCTCTCTCTCTCCCCTCTCTCCCTCTCCCCTCCCTCTCCACCCCCCCCCCCCCCCCCCCCCCCCCGCGTCTCCCCTCCCCCCACGCGCCCCCTCTCTCTCTCTCTCTCTCTCTCTCTCTCTCTCTCTCTCTCTCTCTCTCTCTCTCTCTCTCTCTCTCTCTCTCTCAGAGTCAGCATTTCACCGTTCTAGTACGCCGAACCCTTCCTGAAATCAAACAAGTCGGCCATGATGATCGGAAGAAGCATCCTTTACAAGACCACTATTCACTATCCACACTCACTTTCTGACCTGAAGTACTTTTACCCCAGATCATCATCGACCTCGCCGTCGTCAAGGAAGAACCCTACCTCTCCATCAACCCAAACGGCCGCCTCCCGGCTATCAAGGACCCCAACACGGGCATCACGCTCTGGGAGTCAGGCGCCATTGTCGAGTACCTCGTCGAAATGTACGACGACGCCGGCGCGCTGTCCCTCGCGTCGCGAGAGGACAAGTTTCTCTTAAAGCAGTGGTTGCATTTCCAGGTGTCTGGACAGGTGTGTCCTGATTCCCTCAGCTCCCTTATATCAACTTGAATGCGTCGTTCGTTTTACTATTACGATAACCACCTCCCTTTCTTGTGATTTACCATTCGTTTTTGTCTTCAAGCAGAGAATGATGGTCAAGTCCCAAAATGGCGACGAATAGCTCACCGTGTCCTTACCCGTCTAGGGCCCGTACTTTGGCCAGCTCGGCTGGTTCAAGCTCTTCCACCCCGAAGACGTCCCCAGCGCAAAGGAGCGGTACGAAGAGCAGACCGTCCGTGTCTTCTCCGTCCTCGATCGCGCTCTCAAGGGGAAGAAGTATCTCGTTGGAGACAAAGCGTACGTTGTTGATACTTGATAGAGAAGATTCCGACCGGACCCTGCTCCCCTTTCCCAGTCGCCATTGAATCCGGCTCCATCACCCCCTTCTCCTATCTGCAGATCTGCTCTTTGCTATGAATAGCAACTTCGACCCAGAAATCCACTTTCCCCAGCAAAGAGTCCACTATTTCTACCCATCTAGAGCTCCTTCCATGATTCTGCGCATTGAAACTAACGATGACGGGGCTGTGTGCTTTGTAGGACCTACGCCGACATCTCCTTCATGCCGTGGGATTACCTCGCTAGAAAACTCATCGGCGAAGGGTGGACCGATAAGTGGGAGGTCGACACCAAGTATCCCGACTACGCCGCCTGGGCCGAGAGAATCCGCGCCCGGCCCGTGGTGAAGAATGTGCTGGAGACTATGGGGAAACAGAGGGCTGCTGAGGAGGAGCAGGCTAAAGCTCAGGAGTGAGTGACGGAGTCAGGCTAGGCCAGAGTCCATGGGAGTTGGCTACATGTTCGTGTGTTGTTCTCACACGGAAAGTCAATAATTGTATTGTCAAGTAGAGAACCCCCATATGATATTGTCTTTCTTATGTGAATATGTGCAAATAAAAAACGGCGACCTTGGGGAAACAGTTCACCATTCTCCTCCGGCCTTTCCGTCCCTTCTCACGAGAAGTGGAAACACTAGAGCCCATGATAATAGGAGGGTCGAGAAGCAAAAATCTAGTCCTCCCAGATGGCAACTTTGGCCTTCTCGGCGTCCTCCAGCCGGCGCTTCTCAGCAGCCTTCTCTTCCTCCCTGCGTTTCCGCTCCTTCTCCTTGACAGCCTTGTCGTAGGCCCTCTGCTCCTCCGTCATCCGGGGCACCTTTACGCCCAGGGCGCTAGCAATCATGCGACGGGCCACGGCATCTGTCTTTTCTGGCCTGGGGCGTGATGAGGCGGCGTCCTGGCCACTACTACCGCCACCCGAGGACGCACCGGCACCAGCAACGGAATCAACGCTGCCGTAGGGGTTGGGGAAGGACCTGTCTGCGGCGTTGTAGGTTGGTGAGATGGGGGTCGGCGGCGGAGCCTTGGCGCCGTCGCTTTGGGGCTTCACGGCCTCCTCCTCTTCTTCATCGTCGTCCTCGTCTACGTCCTCATCTTCCCAAGAGTCTGCCACTGGTGCTTTGGTCTTTTTGGTGGATGGTGTCTTTTTGCTGCTGTTTATTGAGAGCTTGGAGAGCGATGACGTGACGTCTGACTTTTGACTTGAGGAAGGCATAATGACGATGTGTATAGATGGGGAGATATTAAAGAAGTAGGAGAAGAGATATATATATATGTGTGTGAGAGAGAGAGTGAAGGCAGAGCGTTGCTTGAGATGGAAAGGAGGTTGAGATGGCCAGGAACCCGGGTGCGGTTCCGTCGGGAAGCGAGGTAAAGAGTGGGTAAAGTTCCGGGTAGCAGGGAAGGTCGATCGGTGGACGACGGGGTGGAGGTGTTTGGACGACGCCGATGAAGGATCAACAAGGTGAGGGAGCAGCTTGCAGCTGGAGTGATGCTGTAGGAGACCTGAGAGAGACCCTCCGAGATAAGTATGAGAAGGCCAAGGGTTGATGAATATATGGCCAAGTTTCTGTGCGATGTGAAGCTCCGGGAAGAAAACAGGATGGAAGAAAGGAGGAAGATAGTGTCCGTAGCAGGAAAATAAGTTCTTGTAAACAGGTTGATGTAACTGGAAGTGGCCTCGGCTCCTTTCAGGTGTGCGAACGGACTGCTGTTAGACGGGCACGACGGGATGGCGGGACGTGGATGGGCTGGTTGTGCTTGGAACCCTTTCCCATTGTGGGGTTGGGTTGACCCCTTCCCCGCAGCGAGTCAGAGGAACAGAAGTCTGGAAGGCACTCACGGCACTGTGGCAGGCAATCTGGGAGATGTACTCTTCATCGTTGTACATGACAACATAAAGCCAGCTCGAGTTAATATTACGGTAAGCAGGTGACTGGACACAATGCGTATGCTTTCATGTAAGCCAGTAAGTGTCGGAATGTGCGAGTTGTAATTATAAGAAAGTGATGTGCTTCGTACGGAGTGACGGATAGCTGCGGCAGCAACCACTGCCGTGTCTCCCTGAGGTACACGAAGGTAGGTACTCCATCCGCCAGCCACTTCAATCTGTGGGGGGACGTCGGTCTGGAGCACCATCCTTAGGTAAGCCGCCCCGCCGGCAAACGGGGCCGATGTTCTTCCTGGTTCCAGAGCCAACTCCCGCCTCCGCTGCGCGCTGAGTGGCCAGGCACGGGCGGCAACGTCAGTGCTCATTGATTTTTTTGGTGATGTCGTTTACTTTCTAGTCTCCCCCCCGACGGTCTCCATAATAGCTAGAAAGCCTACTCAACTCACCTACACTTTGTATTTGTAAGGCGTCAGGAGGCGATGCGCATCGCGATTTAGGACTCGGAGTCCTTTTCACCACCCTTCTGCACAAATACACACACCTACAACCCTTCCAATTGCATTCACCATCTCTTTTGTTTTGCCAATCATTCAACCGATACAGCGGCACATCCTAATTCGCCCTCGGCCCTGTATTACCCGATCACCACGTGCCGCGACCGGAGCTTCTTCCAAGTCGACTGGCAAACCCTCCCCCAAGTGCCGCCAACATGGTGATGCGATCGAGCTTCCCCAGGCGCCTGGCCCTCGGACGCTCGGCAAACTACCTCAGAAACCCCTACGCAGCCTCGAGTAGCAGGTTACCTGCAGCGAGTACTCCGAGGTGCTCCGCATCCACCTTCGACCGCCTTCTCCTCACCACCCGCCCGTCCCAGCGAGACATCGCCCCGTTTTCAACGTCAACACGATGGCTAAAGGAGGAAGATAACAGCTTCTTTGACCGTGCCGTCGAGCCCCTGTCCGAGGAGGAACAAAAGGCGAACCTGAAGCACCAGCGCGAGCTCGAGGAGAAGGAGCTTGCCGAGGCCAAGAGCTCTAACTCCGAGTCATCCGCCAAAGGCGAGGGCTCTGGAGCCGCACAAGATGGCAAGGCCGGTAGCGCGGCCGGTGGCTCATCAGCGGGATCCGGCGGTAGCGGAGGCGACGACAAGGGCGACGGCAGCGGCAGACGCGGACGCAGAGCCTCTGACAAGAGCCTGCAGAAGCCCGTTGTGCCCGACGTATACCCCCAAGTCCTGGCTATTCCGATTGCGAAGCGGCCACTGTTCCCCGGCTTCTACAAGGCCATTACCATCAAGGATCCGAACGTCGCCGCGGCCATCACCGAGATGATTAAGAGAGGCCAGCCGTACGTCGGTGCCTTCTTGTTCAAGGACGAAAACCAAGACGAGGACGTTATCCGCAATGTCGATGACGTCTACGATACCGGTGTCTTTGCGCAGATCACGAGTGCTTTCCCCATGCATGGGGAGCAGGGCGCCCTGACGGCTATCCTCTACCCTCACCGCCGTATCCGCCTTTCGAGCTTGCTGCCGCCGGGAACGGAGGACAAGAAGCCGAGCGAAGCCAAGGTGGAGCCGGTGCCCGAGCCGATACCCTCGAAGCCCACCGATGAGGAGGCTCAACAAGAGAAGAAGGGCGATGTCGTTGCCAGCTTCGAGGAGAGTGCTGTGGCCCCCAAGGCCGACCAGGCGGCGGAGAAGTACGAGCCCACGGCGTTCCTCAAGAGATACCCCGTCAGTCTCGTCAACGTGGAGAACTTGACCGAGGAGCCCTACGACCCCAAGAGCGCTGTCATCCGTGCCGTGACCAACGAGATCGTCAATGTGTTCAAGGAAGTCGCCACGATGAACAGCCTTTTCCGTGATCAGATCTCGACATTCTCCATGAGCCAGTCCACAGGCAACGTAACGTCCGAGCCGGCCAAGCTGGCAGATTTCGCCGCCGCCGTGTCTTCTGGCGAGCAGGGCGAGCTGCAAGAGGTCCTGTCGAGTCTCAACGTGGAGGAGAGAATGCAAAAGGCGCTGATCGTTTTGAAGAAGGAGCTCATGAACGCGCAGCTCCAGTCAAAGATCACCAAGGACGTTGAGAGTAAGATTACTAAGCGTCAGCGGGAGTACTGGTTGATGGAGCAGATGAAGGGCATCCGTCGCGAACTGGGACTCGAGTCTGACGGCAAGGACAAGCTGGTTGAGAAGTTCAAGGAGAAGGCCAACAATCTGGCCATGCCCGAGGCTGTGCGCAAGGTGTTCGATGACGAGATCAATAAGCTTGCCCACCTCGAGCCCGCAGCGTCCGAGTTCAATGTCACGCGAAACTACCTGGACTGGCTTACGCAGATCCCCTGGGGCCAGCGCAGCGCGGAGAACTTTGGCATTCAAAACGCCATGACGGTCTTAGATGAGGATCATTACGGGCTCAAGGATGTCAAGGATCGTATCTTGGAATTCATTGCTGTAGGCAAGCTCCGTGGAACGGTCGAGGGCAAGATCATTTGCTTCGTCGGTCCTCCCGGTGTCGGAAAGACGTCCATCGGCAAGTCCATTGCCCGCGCCCTGAACCGCCAGTACTACCGATTCAGCGTCGGTGGTCTGACGGACGTGGCTGAAATTAAGGGTCACCGCAGAACCTACGTCGGTGCCCTGCCCGGTCGCATCATCCAGGCGCTCAAGAAGTGTCAGACCGAGAACCCCCTGATTCTCATTGACGAGATCGACAAGATTGGCCGTGGCTACCAAGGCGACCCCTCATCGGCTCTGCTTGAGCTTCTCGACCCGGAGCAGAACAGCTCCTTCCTGGACCACTATATGGACGTCCCCGTCGACCTGTCTAAGGTGCTCTTTGTCTGCACCGCCAACATGACGGACACCATCCCGCGACCCCTCCTCGATCGCATGGAGCTCATCCAGCTGTCGGGCTACGTCGCCGACGAGAAGAAGGCCATCGCTGATAAGTACCTCGCCCCGGCCGCCCGTGAAGCCGCAGGCTTGGCCAACGCCGACGTCACGCTCAGCGAGGAGGCTATCGAGGAGCTCATCAAGTCGTACGCCCGCGAGTCCGGCGTCCGCAACCTCAAGAAGCAGATTGAAAAGGTCTACCGGAAATCCGCCCTCAAGATCGTTCAGGACCTCGGCGAGGAGGTGCTCCCAGAGAAGGAGGCCCTGACCGAGGACGGCAAGGAGGCACTCGAGGCGTCGGAGAAGAAGGCCGAGGAGGCGCGCGAGACGGGCGAGCAGCCGGCCGAGACGCCGACCGCCGAGAAGCCCCGCGTCGCCCTCAACGTCCCCGACACGGTGCACGTTACCATTGGCAAGGAGAACCTCGTCGACTACGTCGGCCCTCCCGTCTTCACCTCGGACCGCCTCTACGAGGTCAACCCCGCCGGCGTGGCCATGGGTCTCGCGTGGACCCAAATGGGCGGCGCCGCCATGTACATCGAGTCCATCCTCCAGGCGCCCCTGCGACCGAGCAGCCGCCCCGGGCTCGAGATCACGGGTAACCTCAAGAACGTCATGAAGGAGTCGAC